TGTCTAGTGACGTGTTCTGATATTGGTTAAGCGGATAACACAAAAATAATGACTATGATTGTGGGCTAGGATTCTGACGAAAGATCACATTTGTAGACTATAGTTGTCGTAAAAAGTGACTGTAATTCACAAACGACACAAACGGAACAGCCTTTGGAATTGTGTATGACAAAAAAGATATATTATCATTGTGAAATTACACTTTTAGCCCTCAAATTAACACCAACATGATAGAAGATCAAAAAAGGACTATTTGTGGAAAGGTACCCATAAAAGAAGGACCACTTGGGTAATATTTGATAATAGAAGACTAAATAGGGAAACCCCCCTGTTTTAAAGGACCAATTATAGAATTTACTCTATGAATTATCATTACAATTTTCAAACGTTATTATAAAGTCAAATTAAATTATTGATTTAAAATTTTAAATTAAATCATAATTAATCAGATCAGATCAGATCCAATCAGATCAGATCAGATTCAATCAGATCAGATCAGATCCAATCAGATCAGATCAGATCAGATTCAATCAGATCAGATCAGATCCAATCAGATCAGATCAGATCAGATCCAATCAGATCAGATCAGATCAGACCAGATCAGATCAGAACTTATTAGAATCAGATCAGATCAGAAAAAATAAGTTGAACGGAATGGAGCCTAAGGTACATTATGGGTACTATTTCGTTTGGTAATGTAAATGCATTTTAAGTCTTGACCATGTTTGGTAATGTAAATGCATTTTAAGTCTTATTTCAGGAATAAAAAAATATCTTCAATGTTTAGTCCTACTTTGGTCTTTTTCCCTATTTTGTTACGTGACTTATTATTTAACAAATATAGAAATCACCCTAAATAGGACTAAAACATAGAGAAATATACCAAAATAGGACTTTCATGTTTTTTTTCCCGAAATAGAGCTTTGCACTGTGGTAATGTGGCACTCTACATGTGCACATTACTATACTTTTTTAGTAATGTACATGACCATGTTTGGTAATGTAAGTCCTATTTCGAAAATAAAAACATGTAAGTCCTATTTTAGTATATTTTCAATGTAAGTCCTATTTTAGTATATTTTCGAATATAAAAACATGTATGTAGGACTAAACATTGAAAATATACTAAAATAGGACTTTCATGTTTTTAGTTTCGAAAATATATTTTCAATGTTTAGGACTTATATTTTAGTCCATAATGTCCAGTGATGGCGAATATTTACTTGAATAATGACTAATGCATAATGACTAAAAGTGCTACATTGGGAAGAAAAACACATGTGGTGCTATTTAGGGAAAGTCATTATGTTTTAGTGTTATTTAAGTAAATTCCTCTTCTTTTTTTTTGAAGGAACACGGGAGTAGTTTAAAAAGTAAAACAACAATAATACGTTCTCTAAAAGTCTTCTTTTGATTTATCCTTTTTTGAAAGGCTCACCTTCTTTACTTAAACTCTGCAACCCACTGGCTTCTTTCTGGCTTAGTTGGGTGATGAGATTGTGATCATTCCTCAACACTAAAAATTCTAGGTTTCAAACCGGTATGAAACTGGTATAGACTAAAGTAACTCTGAGAGACGTTTTCTCAGTCTAGGCAACATGCAACCTCCGTTTTTTACTCATTCTTCTCACGAATATTTTTTAAACACCCCAAATAGGAGTAAATCATTAGTCATATACTCAAAGTAGGAGTCCAAAACTTTTATATTTATATATATATATATATATATATATTATTTTAAAGGAAAGTTTTATTAAAAACGAAAAAAGAACAGTACAAATGGGGTGGCCAGATGCCCCTACAATTTGGCCAAGGAAGATTAATGGAAATACACGCACCAAAAGATAGATATCCCAAACAAAGATAACATTCCAAAAAATCTACATGGACATCAATAATACAGGTTTGTTGAAAATTGCGCCAAGGACCAGGCTGTAGTCTGCAGAAGTTGAGTGTAAATTAGGACCAGGCTGTAGCTCCAAGCTATAGAAAACAAAGTCAGATGAAATAGCCCCCTTTAACTCAGGATCTGCGCTAGATAACAGAGTGAGTCATCTCACTGGATCTGCATATGTGTTGGAAACCAAATAAAAGAGGCAAAAATCATGGCATGGAACAAGGAGGTTGGAGTCTTGCAGCTCCATTACTCCACTCTCAGTGAACACCAGAGACCATGAAGACGACTGTTACTAAACCTCAAAAGAAACAAACCTTAAATCACCATAGGTAGCAATTACCTGCACTGAGATTCATACCTCTAAAATCTTACCTGTGCATAATCACAAAATGAGAGAAGCAAGAAATAAACCCTTCTGTAGATAAGTTTTAGAGATAGTCATCTTCATAATCGTCCCAATTTTGTTCCACTACCTTTGCAAGCTTTAACTTCTTTTTGGCTTTCTTTTTCTGGCTACGGGTAAGGGGTTGTTTGGGGGTAACCTCCTTTTTTACCGGACAGCTTTGTTTGAAAGCTTGTATAATTTCATTTGCGAAGGTATTTGTTGGCTCATCTGGGTCCTCAAACCAGCCCAAAGGAGACTTTTTTCGACCTTCAGCAAGAAGTCTCGCCTTACTTCTTGTGATCACTTGAGAAGGATATATATATATATATATATAAAAACATGCAACCTCCGTTTATGTAATTTTTTCTACAATTTGTGCAGAACTTTGCAAGCAAGATTTTGATCCGAGCTACACCATAAATGATAAACGGGCTAGGTTGAAGCAGCTAGGTGAGGCATTTACATTGTATAAAAATCTAGGCTAAATTTTTTAAGCAAGATTTTGATCCGAGCTGCACCATAAATGGAAACTATCACAAAGTTTGCCATTTGAACTTTTGTGTTAGGAACTGGTGGTGTTTGGGTTCAATTATGACTTTTCTTGCTGAGCGGTTGGTGTTTGGGTTCAATTTTTTAAAAGATTTGTGTCTTCTTGGGGTCCTGTGTCTACATTTGTTACTTTAAGTTAAAAATATCTTGGGAATTTTATGCTCATACTATGTTGTAGCTATTTTCGAATGAAGAGGCACACCAACTGTTTGATAAAATTCCCTAATGAACTTCACACGAGTTTTTAATGTGCAGATACTTCTTTGGTTTATTCAGCGTTATATTATAAAGTCTTTATTCAAATATTATTGATATTTGATAAAGATGGTATATCAATTTTGCTATTTTGTTCCTTTCATCTATTCATATATAAGAAAGTAACATAGAACAAACTAAATGGATGAACCTTTTAATATTGAGGTTTCAGTATTGCTGAAAAAATAATCTTTTCGAATGTCAAAGCAAACATTTGATGAAAATAACTCCCTTTTCAACTTGACATATTTTATCATATCTGTTGGTAACTTGATATATTTATATATACTCCATATTTTTCTGATAATTTGGATTAAAATAGTGCAGTTTCTACTTGAACTTCTACAAATTTTTGATATTCTGAAAATGGTAACTCACGTCTATATTCCTCAAAACTAAGATTAGGTTAGATATTTCAATTTTTTGGACTGCTAGAATATAGTAATATGCTGGGACTGCGATCACTCTGATGTACATTAGTTTTTGGAGTTTAGTTCTGTTGAAGATGGCATTTCATAGGTGATGCCATGTTCTTCAAAATTCTGATTTTTTTTTTGGTTTTTTGTGATGTCTACTAACATACATTTTTGAGGATATTTCACTTGGCAGTGGGTACTATGTTTTTCGATTATTTCATCTAGCCATTTTATCCCCTGTCATAGACTCACAACCATTTTTTTAATGTAGGCAAATTGAAATACATGACACTATTTTGAAACCAAACAATCAAGATTTGGGCTTTCCCTCACTTGGAAGGGGAGTTATTTATGATTGAAGGTAATGTTGTGTCATTACAACTATTAATGGACAGTATAATGTAGACACATATTGATAAACAACACAAATTAACTCTGATGTACATTAGTTTTTGGAGTTTAGTTCTGGTGAAGATGGCAGTTCATAGGTGATGCCATGTTCTTCAAAATTCTGATTTTTTTTGTTTTTTGTGATGTCTGGATTCTACTAACATACATTTTTGAGGATATTTCACTTGGCAGTGGGTACTATGTTTTTCGATTATTTCATCTATCCATTTTATCCCCTGTCATAGACTCACAACCATTTTTTTTAATGTAGGCAAATTGAAATACATGACACTGTTTTGAAACCAAACAAGCAAGATCTGGGCTTTCCCTCACTTAGAAGGGGAGTTATTTATGATTGAAGGTAATGTTGTGTCATGACAACTATTAATGGACAGTATAATGTAGACACATATTGATAAACAACACAAATTAACTTGAATCTGGCGTATATGTGTTTGCTGATAATATTGCTTTGCCATTCATTATTGTTTTTAATATGGAACAAGATGCATCTACAATTTCTTTTGATGATATTCTTGAAGGACAAATTTCTTAAACCATATAGCCTGATTTTAGGTTGGTGTTACTAAACCCCGTCTGCAAAAATCCTCTATGTTCATTCCACTCACTATAAACTTAAGCATGTTGTGATGATAGGTTATTTTTACTAAACTTAAGTTTGAAATTGGATTTGATACCTGCATTATTTGTTGCTTCCCTGTCTGGAACAATTTGGTTTGCTTAAGTTTTTTCTTCTTTTGAGAAGCTAAAGAAGCTGCCATGGTAGTAAAGAAGCAGATTAAGCTTGAAGATGAAGAAGAAAAGGAACTACTTCTGGACAATAGTACCTAGACTATAACATCCATATTACCTTGCACTTCATTCTTTATAGATAGAGATGAATTAACTGTACTCTTCACATGCTTTTTATTAAAAAATCTTTTTTTGTGTTTTTTAAAAATTAGTTTAAGTTGTACGATTAAATAATCTATCGTTTTGATAGAAGCCATTTCAAAAGAAGGCAAAGAGGGGGGGGTCATTGTCGATCTTTTAGCTTCTGGCTATTCAAGGATGGAATTAGGAGAGGGGGCAAATAAACACATTGTTGCTAACAATCCAACACACTTCTTAGGACAGCCCATAGCATTCACTTCTCTACTTTAACCATCTTATACGCAATCTTAGTTGGAGTGCTGTTGAAGTCATCACCCAGGTTTTTTTTATCTTTATCGTATAAAAAAGGTTTCTACTTTTCTCTTATTAACAATTTCATGTAGCATATTATCCAGTTTGTAAAAATTTTAGTGTAAAATTTTAGTGTAAAGAGGGGAAGCTTGGGAGTGAGGTTCTTTGATTTTTTATGTATATGTGGTTATGATTTACATTTTTACACTAAAATTTTTAATAACTGGATAATATGCTACATGAAATTGGTCTTACTTTTTTGTGTGTTCTTTATGCTATCAAGGAATGGAGGATGTTCAAGCTATTTTGTCTCTCTATTTTTTTTCTTTTCTTGAAATTGGAGGATTATGTCTCTACTGCAACTATAATTTATTCTAAAATATGTTTGTTTTTACACTAATGTTTAGTTATATTTGGGCACTTTTTCATTGGGTATGTGGTCATAGTTGAATTATATATCTTCAACTATGTTTATCAAATTAGACTATAGAAATTTGAATGAATGTTCATGTACAAACCTATAAGGATAGGGATGGCAACGGGTCGGGTTCGGGTCGGATAGTACTATACCCGAACCCGACCCGACTTTTAAAACCGAAATCCGAACCCGACCCGAAACCCGACCTTTTAAGCTTAAAACCCGACCCGACCCGAACCCGACATTTCAACCCGAAACCCGAAACCCGACCCGAACCCGACTTTTAACCAATAATTAATTCGACGTATCCCAATAATTTTGAAATGATTAAATCTAATTTTTTTCATGTCTCTTTTTTATGTCGCATTTTTTATTAAGGAATTATAAAAATGATTATAAAAAGCATACTTGATATAGTAGCACTTTGTCAAGAAATTATACAGAGTGCTTATTATATTCATAGATAGGCTTTTATGTAATAAAATATTCGGGTTTTAGTCGGGTTGGGTGCGGGTTCGGTTCGGGTCGGGTAAAATTATAAATCCACACCCGACCCGACCCGATGTCGGGTTCGGGTAAAAAATTTCGGGTCGGGTTCAGATTATTTTATTCTCGGTTCGGGTTCGGATATTTTAGTGGTCGGTCGGGTCGGTTAAGCTCGGGTTCGGGTTGAATTGCCATCCCTATATAAGGAGAAATCTCAAGAGTAGAGTGACTATGGAGCAAACCATGTAAAAGGCAAATGCCTTCAAAATACTGAAATAGAAAGAATGTTTTAGGCGATAGCTTATTAGTGGATTGGACCATATCGAGAGTATTCATTTCTAAAACAAACAAGCTTTATGAGACTCCAACTAGATTAAAATAAAGTTTTCACCATACACCATATAGATTCAAAAGTGAGACCTAACATTTTTGAATTGGTACATAAAAATTTTGTTTATTCAAACTTTAGTATAAATATCAACCACTCTTTGAATAGATTTCGTTTGTTTTCACTTTTGATCGTGTCAACACCTTTTTTCATGACTACTTCTCAACCACACTGGATTTTTAGTGGGGAAGATTAAGAAATTTTACCATTTTAGGATATCACACCTTCATTTTCAAAAAAAAATCTTAATCTACTTTCATTGCAAGTGCTGCCCAAGAAAGTGAGGGATGGTGAAATCTTAATGGCTAAATTGTATTATTGGAATAATCTTCATTAATGATGGTGACTAAAGCCACTTTGGTAATCAAGCTTCTTTCATATCTTTGTTTTACAAGCATAATATTAAATTTTCTAGATAGAAGTGTTTGTTGATGGTTAAATTTTTATAGAATGAAACTTCTATCGAGAAGAGGCTTCAACCAGAAGTTACAGTTACAGTGCTTTGATTGGAGTGATAGATCATTTAAAATTGCTGCTTCTATGCTCCATCCATTGTTGTGCTAAGTGTTTTTGTTTTTTTTCTTCTTACAAGTAAAATGGGATATCTACCATTCAGGTTCACAACAACATTTCATGGTATGAAACATGTTGAGTACATGAATATACTTTCTAGAACAATGTCAACCCCAAGTTGCATCTCAGGTAAACCTCTAGCATCAATTTCCAGAACCCATGTATTAGAATAGTCAATGAAAATACTCCACTGGCACTTAAATTGAATCCTCTTAGTATGCTGCTAAACTAGAATTCATACTACTGTTCCCATAGCCAAACAATTATGCTAAGGAAATGAGAAGGAAATGACTACTTGGAGTGATACGTTGCAAATCCATAAACAATTATGTTGTAGTGTTTTGACAGAGGTTTTTTACTTGCACCAAGGAAGATGACTTGGTTAAAGATTTATTCTATTTAGACCATGTTCATATATGTAGTTTTGGCTAAAAGAGTCTATCACGAGTTAGATCAGGATCATATATGGTTAACTCATACTAGGTTTATAAACTTCATACCTGTCCTAGATTTTCGAATTAAAACCTCCTCTCCTCTTGCAGGCATGTGACTTTTTGGGGAAGCATAAGGACATCAAGAATTATTGTAGTTGAGTTATTTCATGTCATTGCTCAAGTAAAAAACTACTATTCCTGCGTGTGTGTGCGTAAAGTATCAAATGACCTTTAATGAGCTACTTTTGAAGGTTTATAATAAATTTGGTAAAATTGAATTTTCTTTTTTTATTTTATTTGAACTTCGGTGTAATGTCCAGCTATTTAAGAAAAAATATATATGTGTCCACACATTTATACAAATGATCAATTTAGATGAGGCCAACTCAAAATTCACACATGTAAACTTTTAGAAGGGTGCTGCTTATTTATTGAACTGAGCAATTTATCAGTTGATTTATCCATGATCAATTCTTTACTAGGTCAGATTGGATGCTTTTGACATCTCTGAAGTGTTTGGTGATAGCTGACCAACCATATCAAAAGAGCTTAAGACCAATGCTGCTTCGATTTTTTAGCTGATGAATATCTCTATTTGATCATCTTTTGTTCTCTTAGTACATGTGCTCATTTGTATGGTGCATAGGAATAGATTGTACACATGAAACTGTCCAAGAGATTTTTTTTTAGCCACGAAGTCATTTGAATTGGTTATTACTTATTATGTATTGCAATTTTTGATGGAATTCACTTATCATAGCTATGATGCTTAGATTTTGACATTGAAGGCAGAATTTGGCTAGCTTGGTAATCAATGTTATGTAGATGTGTACTTTTATGGGGTCTCAACCATTAGGACTAAAGATCATTTTCTTAGGTGTTTTTTTGATCTTTTTTGCTCTTCACTTTCTTTTTTCTATATTGGTGTTTGTTGTTTCTTCCAATTTTTTTTTTTTTTTTGCTATTTTGATCCTTTTCTAAAAAAAAAAGGTTTCTTCTCTTTAAACAAGTTTGTATGTGAGTGAATTCATACTTATTATTTGCCTTCAAAAAAAATTATTCTTCTCATGTTGCATCAACATGTCTCCACCATTTCTTCACTAAACATACTTTTAACCTATAAATATTAAAAGATTAAATTCCATAAAAGGTCTCCAGTTATAGGTCGTTTTACATATTTAGTTCATACATATCAAATATTACTAATTTAGTCCTCAATTATTATATTTATTTCCACAAATAGTTCTTTATTAACATTTTCGTTAAAATTGTGGATAAAATTATAAATTCACACTTCTTTCTCTCCTCAATTAAGCTTCCTTCCTTCCTTGCACTCCTTTTTCAAACCCGTCACTGAGTTTCTAGCTTTGAATCCTAAACTAAAATCATCACTCTTCTCTCAATTGTTTGTGTAACTGGAGGAACGATCATTTTAGTTTTGGGTTTAAAAGCTTCAAACTCAGCGACAAGTTTGAGAAAGAGTACGAGAAGATGGAGGAAGCTTAATTAAGGAGAGAGAAGTATGAATATACAATTTTGTCCACGTTCTTAACGGAAATGTTAATAAAGGACCATTCGTGGAAATAAATATAATAATTGGGGATTAAATTAGTAATATTTGATATGTAGGGACTAAATATGTAAAATGACCTATAACTAGGTACTTTTTATATAATTTACTCATATTAAAAAATTTAGTTAAATTTTGGTCGTGCATCGCACAGGTACGAAATCTAGTTTTCTATAAGGGAAAAATTATAAACTTTATTTTTTAATATACAGGTTTCTTCCGTAACAACTAGTGGACCACCTCACCTTATTCTATAGAAATCACCCTAAATAGGACTAAAACATAAAGAAAAGTACCAAAATAGGACTTTCATGTTTTTTCCCCGAAATAGGACTTTGCACTGTGCTAATGTGACGTTGCCCTATTGTAATGTGGGAGTGTACATGTGCAAATTACTATACTTTTTTGGTAATGTATATGACCATATATGGTAATGTAAGTCCTATTTCGAGAATAAAAACATTGAAGTCTTATTTTGATATATTTTCAATATTTTGGTCCTGATCTTTCTCCCCTTATTCTATTACCCATGGTGTTTGTGTTACTATTTTCATACGTCACTGATGGGTAATAAAATGTTGACTTATTTTCTCAATGGATGATAGTAAAATGTTGAGTTTTCCTCTCTAGGTGTTACGTGTTACCCTCTTAATGATGACTGATGACTTTGATGAGTAATACTCCCTTCATCCAGAAATTATCTTCCCATTTGATTTTTTACGATCTCCAATATTATACTTTGACCATAATATCTATACTTCTACATAGATATATTTTATAAAAAATATTTCGAAAACACGTTTCAGTAGAAATACATTGATATTAAATTTATATCATAATACAATGTATTTTTCCATATATCGTAGTCAAAGTTTACAAACTTTGATCATAAAAAGTCAAATGAGAAGATCATTTTCGGACGAAGGGAGCAATCGTTATTCCGTATGTAACTTAGGTTAAATATTCAGTTACGCTGTCCATAGACAACTCAACTGATCTTAGATGTGAAATTTGGATCAAGAAACCAATGATTTAGTCTGAACAGCGATAGTGTGGGAACATCCATTCAAAAAATGAGGGGGCTCCTTGTGCGTATTGACTCAACCAGTCTCTGTAACCGGTTGTGTCACCATCATTTACCTCTCCTCACAATCCTGTCATGCTGGGTCAGTGCACCCGAGATGAGCGATTTCACCTTTTGGATCAAGATATCTTTCTTCGTGCGAATGAGTGTTGTGTTGTTGGCGAAGCAAAGAGTGTTTAGAGAGTAATATCCGAGTTTGATTCTTTACAATTGTATTGAAAGTAACCTTGTTAAGCATTAGATTCTTGTAAATATCAGGTGTATGCACTACCCTTCACCACCAATCTGTGATTAGAATCTAATTTAATTCTCATGCGATCGTCTGACCAATTCTGAGGAACTCTCATGGATGGGTTTATTCTTTATATTTTGGAAAATTCTATGGTGGGTCCACCATGGACTTACATATGAGCAAAATAAGCATTTTCTTACTACTTAAATATGCATCTATTTTCTTATTTAAAAAATTTAAAAATTTTTTTGTAAGAAAGTCCACAAACATGATATGCAACCAAGGTGTACGATAAACAATTTTGAATTAAAGATTTAAAATGCTTTGATCCTTTTATTATGCAAGTGGGGGCATAAATATCCATAGTTGAAATTTTGTTTAAATTTTTTTTGGATAGTTATTAAAAATTTTAAAAATTCAACGGGAGCAAGTGCCCACATTCCCCTTAGGCCTTGTTAGGACTTTAGCTGTCCGTTGTTGGTTATTTGTGTAAGTTGTTTTGAATGACTGTTTAGTTTAGTTGTTTCACCGGCTAGATGTGTTGGCGGATCGTTAAAAATGTTTATTAAAATTAATTGTTTGAAAATAACTGTTTTGAGATTTAATATATATATATATATATATATATATATATATATTCCCTCCGTCCAAAATTAAAGTTCCCACTTTCCTTTTCGGTCCGTCCACAAATAATGTTTCCATTTCCTTTTTTAGTAACTTTTCTCTATCAAAATGTCTAAACTACCCTCCACATCCTTTTCTCCTCCCTGCCGCACCCACTCCCCATTTCTCTTTCTTTCTTTTCCTTTTCTCTCTCTCTCTCTCCTATCTTCTTCTTCTCTCCTTTTTTTCTCCTTCCTGCCGCACCCACTCCCCATTTCTCTTTCTTTTCCTTTTCTCTCTCCTTTCCTCTTCTTCTTCTTCTTCAATTCCCATGGTCCAACGCCCAATCTATCTTCAACCCTTCTTCTTTCTTGTCTATCTCCGTCAGATCTGAGAATTTTGATTCAGATCGGCGTCGACAAAGAAATCGACGGTGGCGGCGGAGTACAGGCACCGATTGACGATGGGTTGTTGGACCGGAGGGAAGGAGCCCCAAATTTCTTCCTTCGTCTTTTTTTTGAAAGTGAAGGACGGGCAAAGGTGACGGCGAGCAGTGAGCAGTGGCCGGAGATGCGACCGCCGGTGAGATTGGCGGAGAAGACAACTGTAGGTGGCGACCGCCGGTGATATTGGCGGAGAAGGTGAGGAGAAGGCAACTGTAGTTGGAAGGGGCTGTGTTTGCTGACAGAAAAAATGTGTGGACAAGAAAAGAAGGGAAGAGATGAGGGATGGGGGTAATTTAGGAAAGTCAAAGCAAATTTCACATTTTATTAAACTCCGTGCCAAGTCAAAGTGAGAACTTTAATTTTGGACGGAGGGGGTATATATATATATATATATATATATATATATATATATATATATATATATATATATATATATATATATATACCGGTTCACGTGAGAATGCACCTTGGTAAAAGAAATAAGAATAAAATCTAGCCTTTGGATCTGATGCATCGTGCGGCTCAGATTGCATCCTGTGCTGAGATTTTGAGATAGTGCATTTTCAAAGGATTATGGTGCATTTCGACGAGATGCATTTTCAAACCATTTTGATGCACCTAACTTTGATGCAATCCTGACCCTTAGATCTCACAATCTAAAGCACCAGATTCATTCTTATTTCTTTCATAAGATTGCATTCTCACCAGAACCAAAATTTATATATATATACACACACACACACACACACACACACACACACACACAACAACAACAACAACAACAACAACTCAGTTGAATCCCACTACAGTAGGGTCTGGGGAGGGTGTGTGCACGCAGATCTTGCCCCTACTCGGAAGTAGGGAGGCTGTTTCCAAGAGACCCCCAACTCAACCTGCACAAAAATATGAAATGGGACACAGTATAACACGGATAAAGCACCAAGTACAATGAAATGAAAGTCCTGCAAGTAATAGCAAAAGATTCCAATCAAACACAAGACACTACACAACAACCTCTACAACACCGAGCTCCTATCCAGCTACTCTAATCCTAGTTCTCCAAAGGTTTCTATCTAAGGTCATATCCTCAGTCAGGGTGAGAAGTCGTAAATCCTGCCTAATCACCTCCTTCCAATTCTTCATAGGCCTACCCTTTCCTCTACTTCCCCCGATAACCGTAATCCTCTCGCATCTGCGTACAGGGGCGTCAGCATCCCGCCGTCTCACATGACCAAACCATCTCAACCTCGCTTCCCGCAACTTATCTTCCACCGGCGCCATGCCTACCTGACGTCGGATAACTTTGTTCGAAATCTTATCAACCCTTGTCTTCCCACACATCCATCGTAACATTCGCATCTCCGTCGCATGCAGACGACACACATGAGTCTTCTTAACCGCCAAACACTCTGCCCCATAAAACATAGCAGGTCTGACTACGGATATATATATATATATATATATATATATATATATATATATATATATTGGTTCAAATGAGAATATGATCTAATGAAAGAAATAAGAATGAACTATAACCGTTAGATCTCATAGATTATTTATTCTTTATCTTCTTCCGTACAGGGTTATATCTGGGATTTTACAACACAATCCTCTCTCTTTCTCGCTCATATTATAGTGGATCCTAGAAATCAGCGCACAATCTCCATAATTTTCATTCGTCCTTTCCTCTTCCAACGATGGCACACCCGATCGATTGTTTCTTTGTAGCATGCCGATCCGAAATCCAAATAGTTGTATTCAGAATTGTCATCTTTTCCGGCTAAATGAAGAAGGTTGATCGAGATCCACCCTAAAATCAGAGATCCACCATGGTTCATTGATGATTATGCAAGGTATGATCTATATTGATTTGTATATGTGTGTTCGTTTTATGTCTATTTCCTTTTATAGTGAGTATTTCTTTACAAAGTGATGATTTTTTATTTTTGTTTCCATTGCCTTCCGACTTTAGATTCATGGTGGAACAATACTTTGAGCAATAGGCAAGTATATGATGGAATAAATACTTTGAATTGTGGAGACTCTTATATATGTTTTTCCTTGCATCCTCTTAAAATTTTTGATTATTACTCATCATTTTGCAACAAAGCCCCAAATTTGGATGATGTTCAGAAAATTCTGGAGTTGGTATTCAATTTTAAGAACAATATACAATATTTCCCTTTAAATAGCTTTAGTATGTACTTTATTTTCCCTTTTTATATACAATCTGCAATATTCTACATCACTATTGTCAATATTGATATTCAATCGCTCTATGACGCATTCAAAACGTTTTAAACTACATCTTTGTAATTCCTAATTTTTTACTCTCTTTTTTACTTATATATTTCATTTCAATTTGTTGCAGAGATATTTTCAATTTGTTGCACATATATAATATGATCTTTTCACCGCTTATTTTTTTTAGATTATGAACTTCAAATTGATTTGTAAAGTCTTTAGCTAGTGGATTATAAAGAACCTTTAGTGCAGTATATAGTATCTGCAGTGCATATTCTATATAGACTCTAGCCTGATTTGTAAAGCATGATAAGTGTATTAATGAACTGTAAGAACACTGCAGTACAAATCTTAGGTTTTTATTGACTCTGTAATTGGTGTATTTTTATTGAAAACACTCTGAATTATTGTATAAACCATCTTGGACATGACTTTAGATCCTTTGTCTTGGTTTTCATCTTTTCAGGTTTACAGATCATGGGTTATGATGAATAGGTCAGTTTTTTTTGCTTATTTTGGTTTCTAGCACTAGATTTTCTTAAGGTATTGGTTCCTTGGTTTTGGTTTTTAACTTTTTACATGCTTGCATATATGTGTTTTCTCCCATTAACAGGTCTTGGGTAAAATAATGAACACGTTGTTAGTTCTTTTGTTGGCCTTGAAAACAAGGGGAAGAAACAAAGTGAAATCGAGCATTTGTAAGTATTTTTTAGAGTATAATCTTTATATCTGTAGTTGTACTTCATTCTCCACATTGTTTATATGTTGATTTCGATTTTATTATCCACTTCTAGTAGTGTTGTATATGTTTTTGTGCGTGAACAATTCTGAAGTTATCTGTAATCCTCTTAAATGATTGATTTTGTGTTTATTTTGAAACCTCTACGCTCTATGATTGTTTCTTATGTACCATGTTTAAGATTCAAGCAAAAATTTAGTACAAGTGGGAATAAAATAATGTATTGGGAATTCCCTATCAATATTGCCTTATCCTCTGTCGTCTTCTTCTTAATATCAGCCTTGGTATCCTACTTTATACTTTTGGCTGCCCAATTTCTTACCATAGCATTACCTTTTAAGTTTTTTCCTTTTCATTTTAATCTGTGCACAATTAGTTAAAAACTGAATGATCAATATCTTCTTAGACCACTGCATATTGGTACTCTAAATAGTGCATTTTAACTACTCTGTAGTTCTTTTGAATTTTCAATACTACATAGGTCCACCAACTTAAATGCGTTCATAAGGCCTTTAGAAAATAGTTGCTATGCACACACAACTAACTTAATACATCTATATTATGGGTTTTCTAGTTGAATAAAAATCACGAGTAGTTTAGAATGGTGNCATCAAGGTAAATAATAATGCATTCTGGTACTATGCATTCTCAGACCCAAAGTTCATGTATTGATGGTGAAATTCTCATCACAAAAAATGATGAATTATACTCTAGAGAGTGAGTTTTCTCTAAACGGTGATGCATTTAAAATAATTTATGATACATTTGAATACGGTTTATCTAGATATAGCATATTCTCTAAATAATGTTGCATTTAAAATGTTTTGTGATAAATTTGAATATGGATTATAAAAACATAGAATGTTGCCAATTTTAAAAGATTAAAATGCATATTTAAAAGCTCCAAATTAAAGATGAAAGTGTCCTTAAAACAAAAATTATTTCCTATTAGCTCAAATGGTAGAGCAGTATGTAGTACAGATGTGGGTTCGAATCCTACATAGGCAAAATATTTTTTGAATTATGTATAGCACATGTTTTGAATACACTGCATTTTTAGTCTTTCTCATCACATACAATGTCACTGTAAAGTCATTATTCATTAATCCACAAATCAATATAATAAAATTAGAATAAACTCTAAAGGATAAATCGTAGTGCATATATCTCCAGTCACAGTGCACTTGCATTGCTTATAGATATCACACTGCATCTTATCGAGATAAATTTAGAAAAGTGAAATTTGCAGTGAATAGGACTAAAACATAAGTCATTTCCCAATGTAAGACTTAAAGTTTTTTATTTCTTAAATGAGACTAAATAATGACTTGTGAGAGGAATAATGTCCAAGTGATGTTGGACATTTAGTTGAATAATGACTACTAGATAATGACCAATGATTTTACATTGGGAAATAAAAGCATATGGTCCTATTTTGAGAAAGTCATTATGTTTTAGTCTTATTTAGGTAAATTACTCTTTAGAAAAATGGGATATTTATGGAATCAATTAGTTTTGGAAACACCGTGATATTATGACTTTACAATTAATCAATTTAATTGAGAGGATAAAGCCACCTAATTGAAGAAAAAATTAATACGGATGGCTGGTCAAAAGAAGTGGATGCTTTGATTATTTCTTTTCCTAATTTGCCCTTTTGTATTACCTTTATCAATAAAATGGCACGCCACATTAAATGGAGCCAATGTGGTTACTTTTTTTTGGCATCAATGAGAGCCTTTAGATTTACAAGATCAATGCATATCATTTATTCTTATTTCTTTCATTGAGACTCATTCTTATTAGAACCAACCCCTATATATATATATATATATATATATATATATATATATATATATATATATATATATATATATATATATATATATATATATATATATATATATACTCCCTCCGTCCCGCTATATTCGTCCACTTTTGACTTTTGGAATTGTTTATCTAAGCACTTTGACTCATCAAATTCTCTCAATGTGTAAGCCTTTTATATAGTCATGTGTGATCTTGTTTGATTTGTCTTAACATATAGATTATTAATATATAATTTCTATAATTTTTTAATATACAAATTACAAGATAAAATGGATTAAAGAAGTGTATTAGATGGTGTGTAAAAATGAAAGTGGACAAATACTCTTGGACGGAGGGAGTATGTGTATGTATGTATGTATATATATATATATATATATGTATGTATGTATGTATGTATGTATATGTGTGTGTATGTGTATATGTGTGTGTGTGTGTGTATATATATATATATAGATTCTGGTGAGAATTATATGAGATCTTATGAAAGAAATAAGAATGATTGTGAGCCTTTGGATGGAAGCCTTTTGATCCGCATCACATAGGGGCATATGTGTATTTTCTTATTTTTCCCATTTAAGCTCCGCAAATTGAGCACCGCAGGAAACCACATCTCTCTCCATTAAGGATTATTATTACTGTACATAATCCCCAAATCAAGAGTTCTATTTCCTTTTAGATCTCATATCCGTTATTTCACAACTTCAATTCTTTAGTGGAATGTTCCTTATGGAAGTGACTGAGCAGGCGGCATAGATAAAAATTGCATCATTCCACCGAAAACAAGCAACCCTTTGTATCGGACGGCGGCGGCAATCGAGAGACTTCTCTGTTTGCCTTCCACGCCTACATGACTACGGCTCCGTTCCGTTCAACTTATTTTTTTTTATTTTTTCTTAATCTTATTAAAATCAGATCAGATCAGATCGAACCAGATCAGATCAGATCCAATCGGATCAGATCAGATCAGATCAGATCCAATCAGATCAGATCAGATTCAATCAGATCAGATCAGATCCAATTAGATCAGATCATATCCAATCATATCAGATCAGAACTTATTAAAATAAAATCCCATCAAGAATTATTATTATTATTATTATTAGTACTATTATTATTATTCTTAAAAAAAAGAATAAACTTTATAAACAAGTTAAATAGAAACTGAGAAAATAATCTTTAATTATTAGACGTCAGAAAAATTATTTTTAAAATACATTGACAATGTCAATCTAATTCTACTTTTAAATTACATTTTTATTGCTAGCTGTAATTTGAATTTCTAAAGTTTTGATCTTTTATGAGGATAAGATATTTTAATAAAAATATTATCTCTTCTATATATTGATTATCTAAATTTAATTAATTTTTAATGTATATATAAATTAAATATTTATTCTAATGTATCTATGAAGTAATTATTAAAATATTAAATTAATGTTCTAATTTCACAAAAAAATAATCATAAAATAAAAAATATTATGACATTATAAGATGAATGATTATTCCAATATATGAATTAACTAATTTTATTTTGTCAAAAAATAATCATAAAATAAAAAATATTGATTATATTATAATATGAATTATCATTACAATTTTCAAACGTTATTATAAAGTCAAATCAAATTATTGATTTAAATTATAAATCAAATCATAATTAATCAGATCAAATCAGATCAGATCAGATCCAATCAGATTAGACCAGATCAGATCAGATCCAATCAGATCCAATCAGATCAGATCAGATCCAATCAGATCAGATCAGATCAGAACTTATTAAAATCAGATCAGATTAGAAAAAATAAGTTGAACGGAATGGAGCCTACATGTCTAACTCTTTCATAAAACTTCTTTTTTCTTCTTTATTTGGTGTTACAATATTTATTTAATTAATAAAATAAAATTTTTTGATAAGTTTTGCCTTGTTCTGCGTATGCTCAACAAATTCCTTCCGTTGTCACTGTTCCTAGAGACTTTTTTTAAATGGATTTTTATTTGCTTTAAATGAGAGTTCATGCCTGCCAATTTTATATTGTAAATACTTTCTACTCTATTTTACTTCTCAAAGAGGAGCAACTTAATATGATTGGTTTTTTGTAATTTTTATCCCATATGTTTTGTTCTGGTTTAATCAAAAGAAAAAAAAGAAATTTTGCATTGGTATTTCTTCTACTCCCTCCATCCCGCAAAAATGTTCCCATTTTGAATAGTATTTAGTCAAATATTTACACGCTTTAACTACAAATTGTGAGAAAGGTATATTGAATTATAAAATAAATTTAATATAATTGGTTTCATCTTAGAATCTAGTTTTGATATCTCAAATTTTTTTAGCATTTCTTTATTTAGATTATATTTAATTTATGGTCAAAGCGTGTAACTGTTTGACCAAAAATACATCCAAATGGGAACTTTTTTGTGGGACGACGGGAGTATTATATTTGCATATGCAATACATTGTGTTGTTTTTTCTTTTATATCTTTATGTATGACAAAGACCACATTCTTATCCTTTTGTGAAGCATTTATGGGAGTAGATTATGTTAATTTTGCATTCTTGCTAGCTTATGTTAATATGGGGCCGGTTCAGGTGAGAATGCACCTTGGTGAAAGAAATAAGAATAAAATCTAACCTTTGGACCTGATGCATCATGCGGCTCAGATTGCATCCTGCACTCAGATTTTGAGATAGTGCATTTTCAAAAGATTTTGGTGCATTTCGACATGACGCATTTTCAAACTATTTTGGTGCACCTAATTTATATGCAATCTTGACCCTTAGATCTCACAATCTAAAGTACCAGATTCATTTTTATTTCTTTCATAAGATCGCATTCTCACCAAAACTAAAATCATGTTAATATGACCTGTCGTGGCATTGATTACTGTGAATACGTACTTATCTTTTTTGACTATTAAGATCACTATACTCCCATACTGCATTCTTTTCTTTTGATGTTGCTTATTATTGTTCATATGTTGGAATAGCAATTTTTTGATATTGTACATTAACAAAATCACTGTAATGCATTTACATGAGAAGGTAATGCATTCTCATACTCTAAAGTAAAAGATAAT